AGAGAGAGAGAGAGTTAAAGGAGGCAGGGGTGGGGGGTGGGGGGATCCCCGTCTTATTTCGGCGTACTCAAGTGCGTGTGTTTGTGTGTGTGTGTAGAGGGTGGGGGGTGGGGTAAGAATGGAGATAAAAAATGGACGTAGCTTGACTAACCTTCTATCTTAGAAATAACCTTTTGCATGTGTCTGGCTTTCTAGATCGAAGCCACCCTGAATAGCACACCCGAACTTTGCGACCTTTTAATCCACTGACAGAAGAGGGCACCACAGAGCGGACCAATCGCTGTGGCGCAGCGGGATACAAACACCAGCGCGGGAGGTCGCTGTTCGCGTCTGTGTGGGCTCGGAATTTATGTCGCCCCCTCTCGAATTCGAATTGTTCTTCGACCTTTTAAAACCTGGTTTCCTTGGGTGGGAGAAGGGGGGAGGGAGGTTAAGAGGTGCATGTTACATTTTCTAAATGGCATATTTTAAGGATATGTGTTCATTTGCGGGTAAACGCCTCATCGCGACATTAACAAACAATCCTTGCACTCAATATGTCTCACACTCTATATGTCTTATAAAATTGCTTATGTCTTACACTGTGTGCATCGTACAACACTCTAGATCTATATGTCTTACATTCTCTGTGTCATACATTATTGTATAATATTATGCCTTAACCTATTTTCTTATATTTTATAGTATTTTACATTCTAGCAGTCTTCCAGAATTTTATATACCTTTCACTTTATAATACATCTCATATCCCTTTTGTTTTGCTTCTTACACTGTAAGTCACACTGCCACTCTACAGTTTGGTCGAACATTTTTTTTCAAGGTTTTGCCTTATGACGTATGTCAGTTTCTAGAAAGGTGTCTGATGAGGCATTAAGTTTAACGGGATATTTGACCTAATCTTAGTCTAGGTTATTAAAAGTTTCACTTCCCCAGTTACCTCCTCAGATATTAATTGAAGGAGTCAGAAAAATTATAAAATCCAAGTCATATTTTGCTGAAAATAGAGTTGGTAGTGTGACCCTTCAGTTTTGGGTGTGACGACATACGTCGGGGAAGACTACACAATAAAATTATACAATAATAATAATAATAATAATAATAATAATAATAATAATAATAATAATAATAATAATAATAATAATAATAATAATAATAATAATAATTAGATTGCATGTATATAGCGCTCTATCCCATACGGGTATAATCTCTGACTGAGCGCCGGATAAAAAATAGCATATTATTTGTTTAGCGCAAGTTCTCGCTAAACAGCAAGCTCTATGTATGCGCTGTACAATCTGTATGACTGGATGGCTTTACTTTAAATCCGAGTTACGACCTTTACAAATTACTCAGATTCGGTAGTAAATCACGCTTGACTCTTAAAATAGTATTTTAGTATACGGGACGCCGGACGCCGTTTGAGCTTGCTCACGACTGTATTACCGGGTACTTGTTTATACCGGAACCACCCGAAAACAACCGAAACCTCTCAAAACCACCCCAAACCACGCAAAAACCACCCGACACCACGCAAAATTTCTATGATATGATGTTATTTTGCTATGCTATCTATCGCTCTGTGGAAAAAATATTGATCTGTAATACAATATGATCGTTTTTGGATTCTTCTTTTGTTTTAGTAAGTGTCAAACAAGTGCCGAAGATTAGAGGTGTTACAAGAGAGCAACAAACACAAAAAAGAAGGAGGCGGGAGATAAGGACGATAGATGTTTGATAGGAAAGAAGGAGCAAAACACTCCAGAGCACCCGCCAACCACCCACTTGGATACTTCTTGATCCTGAAACAATTATTTAAACTAAAAAACAATACAATAGCATTATATATAAGAGATAATATTTCACTTGGTTTGACCTATTTGTTTTTAATTTCAAACACTTTTTGTCTGGCATGTACATAGGAAAAGTACATATCTAATAATAGTCTTGGGGAATTAGTGGTATATGCTTTAGTTTTCATTCTACGGGACTTTAAAAAATCGGCTTATTGCATAACGGAAAAAAAGGGAATAATCACTTTCTGACGCCGTTTATCAAAAGCTACATGTGCAATCAAAAATTCCTCAAGACAGTTTCTAGAAAATAGGAGTCGTTAACATTTTGTGAAAGTTACATTGAAATCGAATAATAAGATACAGCAAGAAAATGGGATAAAATGTGTGAAAATAGCATTTTAAGAAAACATCCGATGAAGGTCAGAAAAGGCCAAAATAGTTCTCTTTCCCATTAGAAACCATAAAAACATATTTTAAACTCGAACATGGCAACTTCTTGATAATATTAACGCAATAGAAATAGAATGAACGTTTTCTACTAAAAACTGAAACATATAAGCTGTGTAAAACATGCCTTTCGAGAAAAAAGTGGCACTTATTTTCTTTTTAAAATTCTCTACCCTCTGCTCTAAAATCCCTTCAAACACCACTTTAGGGTATAGAAAATCTTACATACGTTTCTGGAGTTTTGTCCAGGAAATATCCTGGAAATATATAATATAATAAGTGATAACCCAAGTTTTTTATAATTTCACCCAAAAGTATTTTAGGGGTCATTTCATGGTCACTTCTCTATAGAATACTTCACAACATGCACAAGATAACAGAAATTAAAAAACGCATTATAACATTATGTGAAAATCTATGCTTGAATACTACTATAACACTAATTAAAATTCTAAGAAGTACAGGCTATTAATTGCAACCTGAGCAGTCGCTCATCAGTTAAAACAAAATAAAGAATGGAGTTGAAAAAAGATTTCACAAACCGTCATTTTCTATTATAAAAAGAACCAAGAACCTGTCGACAGAATATTTTATCCACAGAGCGATAGATAACATAGCAAATAACATCATATCATAGACATTTTGAAGCGGTTTCGGGTGGTTTCGGGTGGTTTTGGGTGGTTTTTGCGTGATTTCGGGAGGTTTCGGTTGTTTTCGGGAGTTTCCGGTATAAACAAGTACCGCTGTATTACCCGGTTTGTTTACAGTCGTTAAAAAATCTACAAAACTCCTGCCAATCCATCCTATCGTAATACATCAAAACGGTATGTTTATCGTTTGGATAATACTTTCTATACAGTTTCGATGTTTATTTTAAACAACTGAGTTAAAAAAAAGGAGTCGAGTCATAACATGGACGTTTGCGATGACAAAGTTGATTGTATACAAAAGAGAAATGGCCTTATTTTTATAGATCTATTTATTCATTTATATATTTTTTAATTTGATTATTCATTTGTTTATTTATTATTCATTTTGCATGTTTATTGAAACGTGCTCTAAGCGAATTAAAAACCCTTTATTTTTCTGACCCCTTCATTTCTAAAAGTTGACAAGATCTAAACACACACTGACTCACGCGGCACACAGGACGACCTGAGCCTGCCCCGGAACGTGCCCTCCGGACACACGCACGTGCTGATGTTGCCGTGGGTCTTGTTGCACGTGCTGAGTGGGTCCAGCTGCTCACACTGGTGGCTGAAGAAACATTCCGCGCCGATCTGAGTCGGGGCTGGGGAGGGAAGAGAGAGAAATTAAATTCTCAACAAGGCCTCAATACTTAAGTAAAAAGGGAACGGGTTTAAGGCTCCTATCGACACTATTAGGTTATTTAAGGGGCGGGACCCCCCCCAAGTCATTTAATTCAGTATCTGTACGCTGTTAAAGAGCAATTCGACTCGTAGGAGTATACAATCAATCAATAAATAAGACGTTTTGTAACAAAAAAATTGAAGCAAATTGTAGAAGACAGCTTGTGACGAATAGAAGAAAGCGACAGGCAAACTTCTTCGGACACACAATGCGGAAAGAAGCAATAATAATAATTTGAGAATATTGTAACAACAGGCAAGTTTGATGGAAAGAGAGGCAGAGGCAGACAGAGGGAAAAGGTACTGGACAAGATGACAACCTGGCTAGGAGCAGCAAGAACAACAGACACCATTGCTGCAACGCGGGACAGAGTGAAGTGGAGGTCCCTGATCGCCCACGAAAGTCGGCAAGGCACAGGATGATGATGATTGTAACAAAATCAATAGTTTCTCGACGCGGTGGAGTCAGGTGCTCGTCAGTTTGTAGACATATGGAGATATTGGTGTAATCTTCTGGCGTGTTCATTTGCATTGTTTTGGATGAAAAAGTATACTTATCATTCTTAAATTATAAAAGTCGAGATATTTGCGAATGAAGGAGGTGGTGGTTGCCTGGTATCAGAGGTAAAATTAGCGAGAAAATGACTGCCAAAATTTGTGGACTTTCATAGCTTGAGAGTTCTTGGAAACTGAAAATTTACATTTTTGTGCCTTTAATCAACGTTTTTCAGTAAAAGTCTTATGGTTATTTGTGTGACTAACGGACATAGAAGGTGCTGAGCCACCTCCCCCCCCCCCCTAAAAACACAAAAAAACCCAACAACAGCAACAAAAACAAACAAACAAACAAACAAACAAACAAACAAACAAACAAACAAACAAACAAACCCAAAACAAAACAAAACCAAACCAACGGAAAAAAACCCCAACAACTCAAAGTTCGCAGATCGGAGATACGCCTGTTCTACCACAAAGTTTCTGCATATATTCAAAGCGTCTACTCATCTCACGAAATAAAGCAAACGAATAATACAGTGACTTTATCAAAACTGTTGTTGTTACGCTCATCATCGTAAAGAAATGATCCCCAAGAACAGGAGAAGTTTGGAGATGGAATCGGTGTGGATTTAGGCCAAAATAACTTACACTTGAACAATTAAAAAGGACCCCCCGAGTCAAATAAAACAAAAAAGTAAAGAAGAACCCATCAAAACATCATCATCATCATCATCATCATCATCATCATCATCATCATCATCATCATCAATAACAACAACAACAACAACAACAACAACAACAACAACAACAAAACCAAAAACCCAAGCACCAGCAGCCGTCTGTAACGGTATTCTCTCTTTTATCCCTGCTGCAGTCTGGTACATAACTATATATAAACAGTTAAGGAGGAATATTTACTGGTCAATATAAGCGGAAGCGGATATACGCAGCTAAAATAAAAAAAAACACCCTTTATTGTTCAGTTTATTCAACACAGAACAGACCGTGGTGGCGCCAAGGGTGTTGTGGGGGTAGGGGGTAGGGGGTACAGTGTTCTGATCTGTGAGCAAAGCCTTTGAGACTGTACAAAAAAAAAGTTGGCAAGTTTAAACAGCGCGCAGAAAGTTTATGTTAACTGACAAAATTAGCAAAATGTGTTGAGTAATTGGAAAAGAAGGTGGTAGGAGATGATATTTGTGGGAGGGAT